AACAATAACTTATAACCAAATAAATACATTGACTTGTTGAGGATAAAAAAAAAATGAATCGTGTTATTATTTATATGTATGTCATAGTACATTTCATTGATGGAACAGCCATTGATCAAGAAATCTGTTTAGAAGATATGCCTTGTGTTGTTCATGGACTGATAAACGGCAACGCTTTTCTTAAGAAAAAGGGAGGAAATATTATAACTCTTTATTTTTGATTTCAAGGAAAAGATAAAGAAACTTTAATCTGACTTTGCTCCTTAAATCAAACGGGGGGAGGGGGGGGGGGGTCATCAACTTTTTTGGTGAATCTGCTTAACATTAAAGTTAATTCATTTAAAATCAATAAATATGTCATGACTGATCGACAGGGGATTCTTAACCCTCCTTGGAAACTGATCCCACCTCTGGAATTTCCAGGGGTCCGTGATTTACGTTTTCTTCACATGTTTGTAGTATTCTTGTAGTATTCTTTCTACGTTTAACTTTTATGAGATAGATCACTGTTTGTTGTTTTCATTTTTTAGAAGAATGTAAGAGCCCCTTCTTATTAACTCATTTAACTACAATCACAGGGACTTATGAAATGACTTCGCTATATCCATTATTCGTTGTAACCGTATAAGAAATTCATTAATTTTATATAGCTAGGGATCCAAGATGACTTCGCTCTATCCGTAAATTAGTAATATCCGAGTTCGTACTAAACAAGTTTTGCTGTATTTTCCTGCAAGTTTTTTTTCTTCAATTTTCTCAATCAAAACAAGGAGCATATGGCGTCCCAAGGGGATGTTTACGCCTCCGTGCCACCTGATCCTAACCCTGATGTCTTAAGAGGTCTATGTTAACATTTTGTAACTTTGTTTGTGAGTACTTTTGATTGATTACTGTTAGTTGTCTTAATATCTTACTCAGGTACTTTTCCAACTAATAATGTCCTACACCAACTAACTCAAAGGAAAGCTTTTCTGATATAAAATAAGATTTTTGCAATAACAACGCATTTCTTTTCAATTTGCTTTCAAAATTCAATCATAAAATAGATAATTATTTATTTTTCTGACATGTTTAACAATCCTTTTTTGAACTGGTATTACAATTCTTAAAATTGATAGAAAACAAACAAACAAACAATATTAAAAAAGCCCCGATGATGTCCTGCTTAAAAGCTTTAATTTAACATAGACAACATACATGTATATGTGTAAAGGATTTTGAAAATATTTCATGATTTTGTACATAAGATAAATTCATGATAGTTTTTGGTTTTTGATTATTGAAACAAGATGATTGTGACATAATTATACAAAATTATCTAAGGGGTGTTAAGAAAGTTCGTTCCGAGATGAACTATTTTCAACAATTTCAAAGTGGTGCTTAACTAAAGAGATGAAATTTCAACTGTGACAAAATCAGTAGAGTATACTTTAAATGTTTAACAAATAATTTCTAGCAGGAAAGTATAGACTTTTTCTTCCATATAAAAAGCACCAGAATGATAGAAATGCTTGTCATTTTGAGTGAAAATAAAGGATAATTTACTTTTGTTTCTTCATAGCTTATCTTTTATCAGACAAGCTGATGAGCCTAGGTATAAGAACGATATATCACTTTTCAAAAGAAAAGGTTTGTCATTTTGTCATTTTGAAATAATTCACAGCTTTGATAATTTTTGCATAGTATTTGAAAGGATGTTTTGACCCGCGTAATTAATATACATGTACGTCACAAATATGCATCATTCGTAATTTTTTTAACATACATCATCTGTTTTAATACCTGCCCTCCCCTTATTGATTCAACAAAAGACAGTAAAAACCTTATCACTGGCAAGAATGGACTCTGTAAACATGAAATATCACAAACTGTAAATATCTTCTCATCGTATTTCTTTTTGAAAATAAAAGAAAAATGTGGAACTTCCTTAACACCCTTTATCATCAATATCGACTAAACTCCTGATTTCCGTGATGTTGAACAATCGTTTAGAGCGTTTAGTCTATTAACTATCATGCGATTTGTCATTAGAACCGATCCATCAGTCCATGAACTACAAAGAAAATAAAACATTATTGGTAAATAAAAGTAACAATTAACAAAACTTCTTGAAAATCCAGAACAACCGAAAGTTTGATTTAACAGTTCTCAGTTCTACACTAATATAAATTCAAAAATTCAGTATTTTCTTTCTGCTGAACTGCAACTACGATAGAATTTAAATCTTTTTTGCTAAAATTCCCAGGAATTCAATATTTCAAAATACATGTTATTATCATTTTTTGTTTCTTTTTGCATCTACGTTATAATTACTTCTAAAGATACATGCCGTGTATGTAATACAGTCTACAACTGGTTCTTTATATATTAAATGAATTACAAAAAACATTATTGAAAATCCGTCTAAATTACCTTTCACTTTTAAAGGATTTGCATCAGACATGGTAAGTTGCGTATTTTGCTTATATCCAAACAAAAATCTACTGATTTATACAAGAAAATGGAATGTGTCTGTAAATAAAGAAATATCACTAAGAATTTCCTGACGCTTTGTTTTTCAAAGTTTATCTCAAAGGTTTAAAAGAATATAATGTAAAACAGACATATTATAAACTCGAGTTTTGAAAAGAATTTGATTGAAAAGTATAATAGAAAATTGCAATCTATAATTGACATGAAACACACTTTCGTATCTTTCTTTCGATTTTAAATGTACAGAAAAAGGTAATCTTTTTTGAATTATTCAAAAATTCCATATTCTATCATTTACAATCAAAATAGGTCCAACAATTTACACCAACCCCAGCCAGGCATCAATTTTTTTTAAATTTTGTATCATTTTTTCGTAAGAGTATCGAATGAGAAGTTACCTTTACCATAAATATTCATATGAGATGCGTTATCATTGCAATTAATAGACCCGAAACGCATCTTTCAAAACAAGTGGACCTTTTAACATGTAGTTATCTATTGACAACTACTTGTTGATATTTATAATGAATTATTCACTATTTCTGCATAAATTAAAAAAAAACAGTTTGTAAGAAAAATATTTTTAATAAACAATGGGTCGTAAAACTAAAACACTTCATACTTTGTTACATGAAGCAACTATCAAATATGAAATCCTGTACATGTAAACATAAAAGTAATAATCACATCAGAAAAGTATTTGGAGTTTATTTCTAATATTCATATTTATTACTTACTCTGGTCCATGCTGATTTTGCAGACTGGAAATCGATTGGGATGATGTATTTCTAGATGGTATAATTATAAATAAAAATTAAATAGATATTTCTTTTCGAAAAGGTAAAATAATGGTCTTGAAATAGGACCCTTATCTAGATAAATAATCAAATAGAAAAAAGGGAAATATTCATTAAAAAAACAACATCAACGAAACAGATGAATTAAACGAGTATATATTTAAAACCGATAAGAAAAGAGAACAATATAAGAAAAAAAACATTTCGATCACAGAGAAAAAAATGTAATCTCAAGGCAAGTTTGAACAGAATTAAGGCAAAAAAGCAATCTACTTACATGCCAGGTACATGTAGGAGAAAGGAACTTATCATATATCTATCTAAGTACTTCTTGTTTATTTTCTCATGCTTAATTCATGACAAAAGATATATTTCAGGATATTAAATGTTCAATTCTGGTCATACTGAGTGAATAGCAGATTGCAACATAAAGCCAGAGATGACACAATTTTATTTTACATGTACATGTACCAAAAAAGAAAAAGAGAGTTTCAGTTCGTTTTTGTAACAAGACAGAAAGAAAATGTCTCATAAAACTTGTAATATACCACATTGTTGGCGTTGACGATTTTTTTCATACCCTTGATTTGCATCAATTCCTCTTTCGATATTCGATACATCCGCACCGATATATGACCAATTGAATATGACAGTACGCGGATTTCGTATTTGAGATTGATATGTGAAACTAATCAGAAATGAAACTAAGCTGACTTCCCATGTTAAATTAGTTCTATTTTGTACCTTTTTAAGGATTATCAAATTACCTGTTAAATCAGAAGACAAGCTATCAATTAACATCAGTTGATATATGATAGCTAAGCTTTTGATTTAATAATAGTTTGCAGTCACAATTTTCGTGGATTTATAAAAGCAGCAAACAAATCCGCAAAAATATCAAACAGCAGAACATCTCTTCTGTAAGAAGCATTTAATTAATTCCCTTACACATAATTACATTTTTAAGAATAAAATGGGTTTAAAGTTTTATATATATATATATATATATATATATATATATATATATATATATATATATATATATATTAAAAGTAAAAAGAAAACACAAATCAGTTAACTTAAAAAGAAAAAAAAAATCCTCAGTTTTACTGTTCATTATTTAAATTTTGGATATTATATATATATATATATATATATATATAATATATATATATATATATATATATATATATAATATATAAATCAGATGGAATAATATAAAGCAGCATTTTTACCCTTCAATAGCCATTGTTCTAATGAAACATCACTGAACGTATACTAATTAAAATTTCACAATAAAATAAGCTTGTGTTATAGTTTGCAGTCGAAATTTTCGTGACTCTCTCATACCAGCAAGCAAATTCCGCAAAAATATCCAACTGCAGAAATCTTTTATACGATATATTTAATTGCCTCCCTTTAACATATAAATGAAATGTGAAATTTATTATCCATAAATAAAATATCAGTACATGTATGAACTAAAGTATTCCAAAAGAAAATTCCATCCAGGCCCTTCTGATCGTGTTCTAGATAACAAAGACTAAAATATAGAAATTATTTCATAAATTTAGGGAAACATTTTAAAGATAAAAATCTGAGTTACATAAAGCACATTAAAATATACAGTTAATATTTTTTACCAATATTGGAGTAACTATTTGAGAACTACATTAATGTGAATCATTTCAAAGATATGCTGTTATTTGTCAGAGATGATATTTAGACAATTTATATACGATTTAAGTGTACTATATACATACGATTTTCTACATTCTTCTCTGCTTCGTAGATAACATGGAAATCTTGTGTATATTTATTTCTAGATGTTTTATATATAAGGTATAAGGTATTTCCGGTTGAAGTGACAGTAAAATGAGGTCGACTGCCACAATATCGGCCGACCAATGGTGAATGTATGTCTGAACCATCGAAAATCTTTAAAATATAACAATTAAAAAGATCACAAACTTTGCATATAATAATAAGTCTCATCATGACTTTAATTTGGCAAAAAAGATTTAGTTAAATAACTTTGCATAATTCATATGCATTCATACCTCGAGATATGTGTCGTCACATGTAATAGAGGAGTCCCGATACCCTTGAGTCTGCTCGTTTGAATTTGTTGAGAAAGAAATGAATGTTGCATTGACCCTTTTTGAGTTGTATGGAGCCAACAAAAAGAAACACAGTGTGTTTGCTAAGAGTTGAAAAGGAGGCTCTACAAGTCCAACCTGGGATGTATATACCCCTCCACAAACTGATAAAACAAATTATGAATTATATAAATTGTACAGTTATTTAAGCATTGAATTCATATTTTGGGATGTCTTCGGTCCTATAACTCACCTGGCCGTGCCGCCAAATTGAATACCGCGCGTTAGCGCTGTATGATAATTTGTCGGCACGGCCAGGTGTGTATGTCTGAGCCATCAAAAACTTAAAATATAACAATAAAATATGAATTCAATGCTTATATTTACATTCTTTAATTTTTCCTCTTCATAATTGTTTATTTTGGTAATATTTAATGCCAATTTAGCACCCTTCAAAACTGGTGTGCTTTATAGATGTAAGAGCCGTTTGTGACTTCGTAAAGTTAAATAACGCAATCGAACATTGCGAGGAAAAAAAGGTGACAAATTTTTAAATGCACATTTGTTGTATTTTTTATTTTATTAATTCAACAGGCCTAGGCTTGTTTTTGTTTTTTTTTATCAAATTGTGTCAAACAATGTACATTTTGGTGTTCATAAAGTATTGAAAATTTATATACTTCCTGCTGTGTATTCTAACGCGCGGTGACAAGGTTTTGCGTGTGTTATAGAGATTTGAACGTCATGGATTTCTCATTGATTTCATAACGAAAATTACACTGAATGTAAATATAAATAGAAAGAGTTATTTTCAGAAGAAAATATATTAAGGAATGTCATGTATATAGATGAGGGATGAATATTTCCTCTAAAATTAATAACTGAAAGATAATATCTTTAAAATATGGATGTAAAATTATTAAGTTTGCTTAATATTTTGATTATTGTAGACATTTAACAGAAAATATTTAATCTAAAATAAAAACTGCATGAACATTGGAGTGTTGTTTTCATCACTTGTATCATTTTTAAAAACTGAATTCATATACTACCGATAAATAATAATACATATACCAGGGTATATATATAATATAAACTTCTTTTCTACGAATATTTTTAAGAGTTAATAGATAATTAGATCAAAAAAAGAGATTTTATTTTTGGTTGTCAATCTAATGAACAATTATAAAATGTATTATCAGTTGTCAGAATTCGATATATACAAAAAGTAGTCACATATTTTTGGTAGTAGAAAATGTCTCAGGAATGTACTCACCACCACAGGATAGTTGCGTCGCATCCTTCGCTGTGTCACAGGGCTCAATGGAGACATTGCATTTCGTAAGGTCAAATCCTTTACCTTTTTTATCACAAACAAAAGAGCTGTATGTGACTCCATTGGGCGAATCGTAACCTCCCCTTTGAGGAAGATGAACGCCATATCTACGGTTAATTATAAATACCAATTAGAGGAAAACACAACCAGCGACATCAATGTTTAAGAAGCTTTAAGAAACTTTTAGAATAGAAAAAAGCTGTAAGAAGGACGTTTTTCCAAATTTTGGGATGATTTATACTCTTTATAATTTAAAAGCTGGAAATTCAGTTATATTAAGTGTTTCCCCCTGCAACTTACATGTTTTCAAATAGTGTATTGCATGCTACCATGGCTGTAAATAGATCAAAGGACTGACAAACCGCGCCCCAGATATTGTCTCGCCACATCAATAGCGTACCATCCATTGGTGTAGATCCATTCGTGATGGCAAGTGTGGATTCTGAAAGATGTGTAGAAAAATTGTCATTCATTAAGGTATGTGTTTTATGTTATCAAACACGAGAAATAATATGCATGATTTAAATATGGAAAATATTTTTAGCAAAGAAACGTTAAAGATAATGAATTAACGAACAGTAATCGATCTAAAAAAATCTATAAAAATAAACAAATCTTTGAGGATCAGAAATGTTCACCTGAACCTTCATTTGGCTAAAAATTCTTTGGGATACATGGACAATGGATCTGCTACTTAAAATGCAAAAGAAACTTTCAATAAAAGACATTACCTGAGCAAATAGCGCCATCACCAAACGTTCCCTTTTCACAAAGACACGAGTACGACCCGTTCATATTCTCACATGTTTGCAAAGAACCCATGCATGACGACTTGCATTCATCAATATCTATAAAGAAAAAAACAATGTTTTGACTCTGTACGGTGTTAGGGGCTAATTATATTGAATAAAATTATAGCAAAGAATACAGTGTCCTAGTCTTGTACATTAACTTTGAGAAAAAATTCTAATCAAATTGCAACCAGAGAGACTAAAATTGCAGATGATTATGAAACAATAATACGACTTGAATACCTCTGCAACCCAAGCCAGCTTTTATATATCCATCCGCACAAGAACATACTCCTCCCATGCAGATTTCTCCCCTCTTAATACACGCGTCGTTTTCTGATTGGGAACAGTCACATTTTACACCATACCAATTTGTTTTGCAGATGCAATTATCTTTAGAGTCAAATGAAAGAGTATTTGTTTGATTGCATTTTGACATCTTCTCACAATCCGAACCATAGTACCATTGTTGGCAAGCATCTGTAAAAGGTAGATATCCTTCAAACAAAGAGTAAAAACCAGTTGCTGGTGATCGTTGTTTAATTTAAGATTTATAGCATTCATTCACAAGGACAGTAATTATCTAAGATTAAGATAAATGAACTCAGTTAGTGTTCTTCTATCGATATCCCCTTACTGTACAAAGTTAATAAAATTGAATTTTGAAAAAGGATTTTTTCGTGCATCTATTAAACCATTTTTCACAGTAAACATTAAAACTTGATAACATAGTAAATGTCTAGTAGGCATTTTGAGAATGTAAAGTAATTTTTATGTCAATCACAGACAAAAAAGAATGATGGAGAAAAAATATCAAATATTATTTTTGATTTAAAACATGAAGAACACAAGTTACCACACGTCTTAGCTGTTATGATAATATCGTCTATAAGCATGGGTAAGTTGTTGTTTACATAAACAATGACAACAATCTACAAAACAAAAACATGGCATTTTATTTATTTGCAACGTCTTACGATTAGACCTTATTACATATGTACTAGTTAATTTTTGCGACTACAGTCAAACAAATAAGTACCTTGGTCAGTGAAGACGCTTTTATGGGGACACGGGCAGTTGACCAATCTCTTCCTTGAAACAGTCTATTACTCATCAAATGCCCATTTCTTATCACCTGAATTCGGAGACTTTGCATTGTCGGATCCAGTGTATAATATTTCAGTTGAAAACAGCTGTCTCTCTCTACAATTTTTTGTAAGAAAGAATCAAAATGAGTCTTTTAAACTTTCTTAAACATATTTTACGTTGAAAAGTCTTTAAAAAGCGGCTTGAGAATTATAGCACTTACTCAAAGTTACATTTCTGAGAGAGAATGAATACATGGTGCGTTTAGGAGAGAGCCTTGTCTGAAGATAACTGCTCTTATTCAAATGAAGGCTATCATTTATAAGCTGTGCGCTGTCCTGTAACGAACAAATCTTTTTTATTTAAAATTTGGCAAATATAATTTTTAATCTTTTGGTTGTAGAAAAAAATTGGAAAATTATACATTTTTTTTTTTTTTTACAAAATCTGTGGAGAATTCAGTGCACTCTAAAAAGTTTGTGTTATGAGCAACATTATTAGCTTTAACCTCTTTCTTTTCCCACATCGCAGTCGATAATTCAATTTTGCATCCATGTACACTGTCTGCCGTAGCAAATGTACAGAAATATATGACATTGTCGATACCTACAACAGTTTTAAAAGTTATAACAATCAATGTTTATTTAAATCTTAATTAAAATTTCTCTTTTTAAGGTATTCAAAAAATGTGGAAATTTAATTAGGAAGTAATTAAGATTTATCAATTTATTTTTATCCCAAGAAAATTTCCAGTTTAAAGATAACAGTTAAGGTCAAGATCTAGTGAACGAAAGTTACCTACAGATTTATCAAATTTGAGAAATAAATTCCATTTAATGATGTTTTATAAGTCAACCTTGGTCAAATAGTTTCGGGGCGTAATTTGTAGATGAACAGGATAAAATAAAATCATATTTTAAACTGTCATTTCCAATGAAAAATTAAGAAAACCAGTCATGAAAAGGGGAATATTTTTCCTTATCAGACACAGAACATGTATCAAGAATGCCTATAGTCTATCAGAAAACAGTTATTTGTATGTTCTTGGCCTCTTTTTTAAAATAATATCAAAGATTACATAGGTATCGGGACTACTTGTCATGTGATTTCATTTTCAGTTCCATGAAAATACTTAATTTCCTTCATAATTCTATAAGAGCTGCAAAATACGTGAAAAAGAAAGTTAAAAGTGATTATGACGTCAAAATGGTTCTAGGACCAAAAATTTGGTCTAAAGACATTTACTAGATATTGACCTCAATTTAGATTTTAAAAGTTACAAATCAAAATAAGACAGTATTAGATTGATTACATAAAAGTGCAAAAATGTACATTTCTTTGTAGCATACCAGAACAGGTTACACCGTTAGCGTATACGCCATCTTTACATAAACACATATCTCCGTGGCAAAATGAGTATTCCGGGTTGCACGGGTCTGGGGATTTTCTACAATCACATGTTTTGCCGCTCCATCCTGACTGGCAAATACAGCTTCCAGTCTGACTATTACACCCTTCAGAGGTTTCTCTTGTGCAATAACATGATTTTTCACAAGTTAATCCATATTTCCATTCCTCACAATCTAAAAGACAATTGTTACATAAATGAATGCTGAAAGCTAATTTGAATTTATTTCATTATCAGGCGAAAATAGTTCTTTCCCTTACCACAATGCCCTTGAAAGATTTTGAAGTCGTCTAGTGCTACATCTGAATTATGGCCGTCACCTCTTATTCCAGTTATATTTATCTGAAGAAAAAGTCAAAGTAAGCTTTAAAAAACTCGAAATAAAGATCACAACATATAGTACTAGTATTCCAAAACGTCTTCTTCGTGAATGGTTAATGAACAACTCAATTTTATGATAAATGGTTTGACCTCAGCTTTTCTATCATCAGTAATCCTTATTCCTGTTGTTGGATCCTGATATTATAATAAAGTCTGAAAAATTGTATTTTTTGTATCTACGCACATAGCTTAATTGAAAATCAAAACATAAAATGGTCGATATGCGTCTTTTGGCGTGACGATACAAGTTTTCTGTGATATATTTTCTATCCAAATAAATCATGGTACTAAATATTTCATAATTATTCTTTCTTGAAAACACATTCTGACAAAGAAAAAAATTTCAAATTGCTTCGCATAATCAAATATTTGACCTTTCTGTACTCAAAAAATGTCAATTTCTGGTATCAAATATTTCACAATAAAAATTATTTATATTAAAGTTTTCCCTGAATTAAAACAGCAACACGCGGAATGATTTTATCCATCACAAAAAAAAGATGTGGCAAATATAAGTTTGCGATAATTTTCTATTGCATTTCTCTATTGAATTTACCACATCTGCAGTTGATGGAAAAGAAATAAGTCCTTTATCCCAGAGAGAACCCTGGTGCCCTGACTTTGACCATCTAGCTACTTCTAATCCATTTATGTCCTGTACTGCTACATTCAGATCACCCATATCCTCTCCTCTCATGTGGAAGAAAAGTTGGAAACAGGCATGTGTGGCTAAAAAGATAAGGAGTGGTTCATATGATCAATTAAATATATCAAATGATGAAGAAATTTGCCGATGAATTGTAATCACTTTATTCCTGTAAATGTTATAAAAGTTAAGATTGTTTATACATTTCAACTATTTGATACAACTGTTTAATCAAATAAAATATTTTTTCTATGGAAAAGAAGTGAAATGTTCTTTTTTAAAGTATGTACATTTTGTTCGTTAAGTGCTTTTTATTTATTTCTTTTCTCGTTTAATATTTACACTGTCTTTGAAACTTTCATGCGCTTTAATGTCGTTTCGGGAGAGGGTAATTCACCTAATAAGTAATCATTCTGATTATTTTATTGTTCATTATACCAAAAACTTGTCTTTGAATTTTAAATTTCTTTTGATTCATCCCGTAGAATATACATTTGAAATCATTATCAAATCTCTAAATGAACTCCTACTTAAATTTAGGTTTGAAACTGGAATTTCCATCACTCCTTTATCGCCATTGAATTGCAGGTTTGCCTCTGTGTACACATAATTTTTACCCTCTTGGGCCGAGATTGGACCTGTTTCTCGACTATAAGTTCGATCCTACAAAAGGAAAAGTTCATTTCAGAATTCAGGGAAATTTGTCACATACACTATGAAAATGTTATTAACACTTACCGTGCCTTTTCTCCATTTCATTTTGCCATAATTTTTTATGAAGCAAGCATCAAAAGTCGTTTCAAATGAACAAGAGTATAAAACATCCGTGACATCTGCAAAGAATATGTGTAAACTAAGTTATGATTAGATGTCACAGAATAATAATAGTTTTCTGAATGTGGTATTTCTTTTTATGCATTAACTTGATGATGAAAACCTGATCATATCACAAAATCTTGTAGAAAGGTGTAATTTTGTAAAAACCATTGCCGTGTCAAGCTTAGTTCAACCCTTGAATTATAATAAATCCTAAAACCTTTAAGAAATTTCCAATTTTGACAATGATTTGAAAGTAGGAAACGTAATCAATCTTTTTGCTAGATTATCTCGAAAAGTAAATGTTTTTAACTTAAATGAGTATTTAAAACTAACATTAGTTTAGTTTTTCTTTGATTTTGCAAAATGTGTAGCGTAAATCTGATGAATGATTTGCATTATCTTGTTGAATACTTATGGAACCTTTATACTTTGCTTTGATTATTCCATTTTCTAGGTTTGGCTAAAACGCCAAACATCAATGTTCAATCCAATTTTGAAAAAAAATTCGTCCCTCTTGTAATTGTTAGACACACATGTAGATTACAATATTTTAACGTGCGAATATCTTCAATGGGCTCCAAGAAGATTCAATAAACATTAAGTTTCTTTTTGTAAAATAATGTTTTTAATTCTTCAAGTGCAAATTCCAACACCGATTCAGCAAT